TACTATGGTGAATGATGTCAAGTTGACCGTTACAATATGGCGGACTGCTTACGTATAGCGGCCCATAGAAACAGTTGCTAATGAGGCATCTACATATATATATGTACGGGAGTAGGCATTCTGCGCTGTGCTTTAATAAAAAACATTCCTGAGCACTACGTCTCGTGGTTTTCGACACAAAGACGTGTTCTGTGGGAATGGCCAGTAAGAATCTAGAGTAAATACTTAAACATGTAGAGTAACAGGACAAAATCACTAAGATAGTGCCCTGCCCTTTCTCTTAATCAACAGTGTTCTATTTACATTATTTAAAACATTTGTTCACAGGAGATGCAAGTTATTATTTTCTTCTTTTCACATTGCATTATTTAAAATAATATTAATTTTCAAGAGATACAAGTTATTTTCTACTTTTCACATGACAATATTTAAAACATTTTGTTTGCAATAGATGCTGGTTATTGTCTACTTTTGACATGGCAATATTCATTTGTTTTGTTTGCAAAAAATGAAATAAGAAATGCACTCTTTCATTAGAAAAAAACATCCCACCTTTAATAGTTGAGTATATCTGCAGTACAATCCTTTATTGAACTATGAGGCCAAAAAAAAAAAATCATTCAATAATCATAATCGAGGTTGAGTGTTCAATTAATCGAGGTTTTAATTTTAGGTCATATCGCCCATTCCTACTGACTATACATTAGCCCTTCCAGATATTTCATTTTACAATAAACAATTTAGCTTTTTCTCTGAAAGCCACCAGGGCAGAGGCAAGTCAGCTTACACTGCTGAATGAACTCAAATGACTAAACCCTAATTTGAAATAGTTACTGTGACTTTTATTTAAAAGCTTTATTAGTATTGTTAAGGGATTATTTAATACCTGTATAGGATTCTGAAGCTGAACTTCCACTTCTATCAAAAACGATTGGTGATATCCCTCTAGCGTGCTTCTTGGCTTTGCTTTCCTCATCTGAACAGTAAATGGGAGAACATGCCCCTTATATTAGAATATCAAGGATTATTTTAGATCTCTTGGGCTCCAATTTCTAGCCAAATAATTTTTCTGTCCTTTGATGAACACAGCCAGGTAGCGACCCGTAGTGAAAACTTCTAACAACATGAGATCAACTAGTCACAGGTAAGAATACAGTGGTAAGGGCAAGTTGCATAGTTCTTATGAAAATGAAAAAGTTTTATGGCCTTTAATCTGCAGGTCTGCTCCAAAACCTAGTGAACTGCCAACCTACGGAACACAGAGGCTCTCCTGATGTGAAAGTGGCTGCAAAAGACTTGCAAAATGAAAACCCAAAATGCTTTCTAACAAACACTTTAATCTTACAGAATGCAACAGTCGGGTTCCAGAAGTAAAATCTCAATTTTTTTCCGCAAAAGGAAATTGACTTTTAAAAAGAACTTTTAAAGGGGTCATATGATGCGATTTAAAATTTTTCCTTTCTC